TCTCTCTCTCTCTCGTCTTACGATTTCTACAGGTTTTTTCTTCTTCTTTTCTTTCCTCCACTCACTCAATTATTTTATACATTTCTTTTTTCTTTTTCCACTTTTTTCTTGTCTGCCCCTCTTTTTGTTTCATTGGCTTTTGCTTTGTTTTCACTATTTTCACTCCAGTTGATTCCTATCTTTTCATACGTCATAGGGACCTCGTAAGGAACAATGTCACGATATAATCTCGACTTGTATACGAGTACACAGAGTCAACGACGAAATTATTTGTACACCCATCAGCTTTGAATATTTTTATCCATTTCTCAGAATCTAATGCCCGTATGGTGCCAGTTTTTTTTATATGTGAATAAATACAAATAAAGAATATAAAACTCAAATTTTCAGAACAATAAGTTCTAATACAATAAATTTGACAGGCGAATTATGCAAAATAGAAAAAGCCAAAATTATTTTTAAAAATGTCATCATACGGGCATTAGATTCTCAGGAATGAATAAAAAATATTCAAAATTGATGGGTGCACCAATAATCAGGCAATCATGGCTCTCCACTTACCCCTATCCCTTGTAGCTCTCAATAAGTTTCGTCCATCTACCGCCTCTCCAAAGTCACTTTCATCCACTTGCTTAAACCCACTAGGTATGTCATGCATTGCTTTCTCTTGTCTTTATTTCCTTCTATTCAACCTGTGAGTATTAGATTCTCTAGGTCCTCCTTTCTCCTTAGGTGTCCCAGAAACTTCAGCTGCCTCTTCCTGATGTCAAGTATAAGCCTCCTACTTGTTTGCATGCTCTCCAACACCTCATCGTTGCTCACACACTCAGTACATGATATCCTCAGCATCCTTACTGGGCCTTAAACTCCCATCTGACCTCAAGTAGAACTTGTACATATCACTAAAGATGCAGGTAAAATAGTCAACTCATTGTACCACTCCAGTTAACTGTACATTTTGCACGACTAGTAAGAAATTATATCAATGCCGACTTGTATACGTGTACATAAATCATGGAGGTCGTACCAATATTACGTTGTAATCTCGACTTTTACACGTGTATATACGACGTGTATCGACGGGACTATTACAGGGTAATGTCGACTTATATACGGGTACGTATGGTATGTAAGCCGCAATGAATAATATAGTATAATCAGGAAATCCTTTCTTCAGCGTATGTCTTTTAATCAATGTTTCTAAAAATGAATCCTTGATCCTTTGCTTTGTCTTCTAAATATTTTTTATGCATCTTCGCAGATTGATATTCGCCCTAAGTGCTGAGATATCAGTCTACCTGAAAATCTCTCGACGAAACATCTGCATTGCAAAATTTAACTGCCTATAAATTGAATCATAAATCGTCAATTTGTAAACGTCTGTCTGTTTGTCTCTCGCTCTCTCTGTATCAGGTCATCCCATAAGTTCTGTCCGAATTGTAACTTTTCTTTAAAATGAACGAAATTTGAAGAGTATTTTATATTGTCTAATGCTGCTGAACATTATTTTTATGTTTAGATGCATTTAAACTGATCAAATTTTATTTCAGAGAACAATAAAATTAAATTTTGTTTGATTAAAACCCTGCTAACATAGAAGTACCCAAGAATCATTTGAGGCACATAATGCTTTATGTGTTCAAGAAAGGAAACTCAGCAGCCGAAGCGGCTAGAAACATTCACTCAGTTTATGGAGAGGAATGTGTGAATGAAAGAACTTGCAGAAGATGGTTTGCAAAATTCAGAGGTGGAGATTTCACCCTTGAAGATGAAGATCGAACCGGACGTCAAGTTGAGTTTGATGAAAGGCTTCTTTAAACAGCCCTTGAAGAAAATCCTGCTTTATCAGTTGAGGAATTGGCAGTGGTTCTCAGTTCAAACCATACAACTGTTTATCGTCATCTTCAACAACTTGGAAAAATTCCAAAACTTGGAAAATGGGTGCCTCATGAATTGTCTGAAAACAACCTCAAATCCCGAGTTGACATCTGCTCTTCTCTCCATTCTTGCCAACTTGTTTCACCTTTTTTGGATAGACTTGTGACTGCCGAAGAAAAATGGATCTTTTATCGAAATGTTAAGCGTCGTAGACAGTGGCTTGGTAAAGGGGAAGGACCCCAGTCACAGCTGAGAAGAGAACTTCATGGGAAAAAGGTTTAATCTGGTGGGATCGCCAAGGAATAATCCACTTTGAATTCTTACCACCTAATGCAACAATTAATGCTCAAATATACTGTCAGCAGTTAGAGCGTTTGAACCAAGCTTTGAGGAAAAAGAGACCTGCTCTAGTGAATCGAAAAGAGGTGATGTTTCATCAGGACAATGTGCGACCCCACACAGCAAGAATCACGTCACAAAAGATCGAAGAACTTGGTTGGGAGAAAATTCCTCATCCACCTTATTCTCCCGATCTTGCTCCTTCAGACTACCATTTGTTTCGTAGCTTACAGAATCATTTGGAAGAAACAGCTTTTGTAACACAGGAAGAAGTTAAAACTGACATTTGTGAGTTCTTCGAATCAAAGCCAAAAGAATTTTACAGTAATGGAATTAGTAAGCTTGTTAATAGATGGAAGGAAGTCATAGATAATCAGGGAAAATACATTGTTGATTGAATCTGTAATTAAATGTAACATTTGGTCACTTGTTTTCTTTACTCAAAATTCGGACAGAACTTATGGGATGACCTAATATTTCTTCGGTAAAGTTAGATGAGAATTCGATGGGACGATAAATATATGATACAATTCGGAAATTTTTTAAATTTATTTCACAATAACAACATTTAAAGAAGCTTGAATTTTACTTAAAATTTATCGTTAGAGAAATTAGATTTTAACTAACTTTAACCCAGTTTTATTTCTTTGCTAGACTACCCAGAAAACTTTGGTTTTCTTTTAAAAACAGTTCATGATTCAAAATGATGAGGTAAAAAAATTTTCAATTTTATTATTAATTTAAAAATATTAATTTCTGTTTATATCTCTGAGATGAGGTATTATGATTATTTGTATTATTTACATTATTCGGACTTTTATCCTCATCTTCATTGCCATATTCACAACGTTTAGGCCGTTGTACACTCCGGCCTTCATGTCTATGTCTCTCTGTATATCTGTCTATATCTCTGAGATGCGGTATTATGATTACTTGAATTATTTACATTATTCGGACTCTTATCCTCATCTTCATTGCGATATACACAAAGTTTCGGCCGTTATACGCTCCGGCCTTTATGTCTACGTCTCTCTATATATCTGTCTATATCTCTGAGATTAGGTATTATGATTACTTGCATTATATACATTATTCGGACTGTTATCCTCACCTTCATTGTCCTATTCACAACATTTCGGCCGTTGTACGCTCCGGCCTTTATGTCTATGACTCTCTCTATATATATATCTATATCTATGAGATGAGGTATTATGATTATGTGCATCATTTGCATTATTCGGACTGTTATCCTCATCTTCATTGCCACATTCACAATGTTTTGGCCTCTATAGCCCTGAGATGAGGTATTATGATTTCTTGCATTATTTACAACTACAGTTATTTCCTGAAGTACACATATCTTAGTGGATAAACACGTTGGTTAGATCCAGTGACTAGACCCAAATAGTTGTGAGTTCAATTCCAGGCCACGGCAGTGGTGAACCAAAACTTGAATAGTAGAGTTAAAGGAAAATAACTAAGACATCCAGAAGAGGCATGACACGTGGTTCTAGAACAATCTACCCCAATGGACGAAATAAATGGATCGGTTCGAAATTCCAGTCACCTGAAGAAGGCCGGAGCTTACAACGGTGGAGACGTTCTGTATATGGCAAAGAAGATGAGCATAACAGTCCGAGGAATGTAAATAATGCAAGTAATCTGCTATAGCAATTAGCGATATAGTGGTAAGAGGCTGGCAACTTTTCGTCAGTGGGATGAGGGCTGCAGGGTAGAGTATAATTAATCACCCACGAGGCAGCGTAAGTTCAATTGAAATCTGTGGAATCTGGAGAGTGAGAACTGAACATCACCAGCCCTAATGTGGTAGCAATAATCCATTCTTGGTTTGACCTGTAAAGATAGAGCGTGCCAGCAGGAATCCTACCATCCTATAAGTGTCCTTTTTTTCTTTCTACTGTCCTTAAAACTTCTTCATTGCTTCCATCCTCCGTCTATGGCCTCCTCATCATATTTATCTAGATCCACATTTCTGTTACCTTAAGTCATCTCGTCATCTGTGTGGAAATTGCCCTGTAAAATTGAACACAGCTCGCTGATTCTACTCCCTGCGCCGATAGCCACTGTTCTACCCCCAGATCCATAGACTGAATACACAGTTGAAAAACTGATTTTCACTGGAAACGTTTATAGACATCGAGCATGTATGCATTTAAATTGTCATTTTTTATACTTTCAACCATCACATGAGTTATCCCCCTTTGAAGCGCATGTTAACGCCATTATTATTGCATCAATCTTTGCAGCATTCGTTTTTTCTGCGTTTTCAAGAAAATAATTAATCATCTTCAACTTTCTTCGGGTCTATATTGCATCCCGAATTGGCCATGTAATGATACATTATAAAGGCGTCTTGGAATGATCATGGAACTGAACGTTTGTCAAAGATTAGATGTTACATTGATCCTTTCTATGGGAAGACATAACCGCCAAGAATACTTCTTCCGGGCATTGATTGACGTATAATCTTAAAATCGACATTCTGTTTTCGTTTTACTTTTCATTTAACATTTGCTAATATAATAATGACGGATATTTTTTGTTGTTGTTAATAAAATCTTCAAAGTAGTGAAAGCATCATCATCATAAACAAGTAATTAATATTAATTAGTTGTCCTGCAATAATTGTCAGCGTAACGACCATCGCCTGCCATTAGAATTATTATCGTTATCCACATGACTAAAATGTTGTTCGGCGCTTATGAACACGGCCTTTATAGATATCATCATTATTGCCCTAATTATCATCAGCAGTAGAAAACGACTGACAAAAAAAAAAGAAATAATCGAAGAGGGAATTTGGAAAATAAATCGCAAGGCAAGTGGAAAAGGGAGAGCGAAAGGCAAGAGAAAAAAATTCCATAGAAGAGAGGACACCTAAAAAAAAGTCGGAATGCAAACACGAAACGAAACGAAGAACATTTTGTTTATTGATTTATTTTTGAATCGTTATTCGCAAATGTTTTTTTTAATAAAATGGAAGAAGAAGAAGAAGAAGAAGAAGAAGAAGAAGAGGCCGAAGAAGTGGATAAAGAAGGTGAATGCAAAAAGCCAAACGAAAGAGAACAGAGAAAGAATTTAATGAATTGTAATGAAGAAAGAAAAAAAGAAAAGATGGCGAATGAATTCAGTTGCAGTCCTTGATGAAAGGAATGTTTCTAATAATAATAATAATAAGTAGAAGAAGAAGAAAAAAGAGAAAAAAAAGCAAGGAAGTAAGGGAGGGAGCAAGGAAGGAAGCAAGGAAGGAAAGAAGCAAGGAAAGAAGGAAGGAAGCAAGGAAGGAAGTGAAACGTGATACGGAGAAGCCGTAAACATTTTAAGAAAATAAAAATAAAAATCAAGTCAAGCGTTAAACACACAAACAAACGAAAACGGATGAACCGAGAAAAATCCCCTTAAAAAAAAGTAACAAGACGAAAATATATGCGCATGCGCAGACAAATGCACACACACACACACAAAATACTGTGTGCGCATGCGCTGTCGTATACGCGCACTTTAGTGTGAGTAAAACGGAAAACAAATATAAGCAAAAAAGGTCTCGAAAGATAAATAGGCTGGAGGAAATAAGAGAGAGGGAGAGAAAGGGAGAGGGATAGAGGGAGGGGGAAAGAGAGGGATGGTAAGAAAGAGAGAGTCAGAGAAAGAGAGAGAAATAGAGAAGGAGAGAAAGAGAGAGTGAATATTTCTTCACAGAGAGAAACAAAAGTACAAGAAAAAAAATTGTTAGCACACTGAGAAGCCCTTAACACTATCACTAATAAAAATAAAATAAAAACGAAGTTCAACACACACACACACACACACACATATATATATATATATATTAAGAGGAGCACGAAAAGATGGCGAATGAAAAAGTACATACATAATTCTATTCTTGTATTTCTGAGTCATTCACTGAAACTTTATCTTATTTAAATTTTCTTTTGCGTTTTTCATTCGTTTTTTTTTTCGGTTCGGTATTTTCTTTTCTTTATTTTATTGTTTCATTCCCATTCTCGCCTCATTCAAATTCTTTCACCGATTTCCTTCCATTTTTTTTTTTGTTTCTTTCACATATTTCTTCTCAAATTCATTGTTTTCTTTTGTTTTATCCACTCTTTTTCATTCTTTCTCGTTTTCTTGCTGCTTTCGTTTTTTCTTTCTTTCACTTTCTTTTCTTGTCATTGATATTATCTTTGAAGATGAAATGAAGATGAGGATAACAGTCCGAATAATGTAAATAATGCAAGTAATCATAATACCTCATCTCAGAGATATAGACAGATATATAGAGAGACATAGACATAAAGGCCGGAGGGTACAACGGCCGAAACGTTGTGAATGTGGCAATGAAGATGAGGATAACAGTCCGAATAATGTAAATAATACAAGTAATCTTAATACCTCATCTCAGAGATACAGACAGATAGTATGGCAGATGTTCGGACGATCTGTATTCCTTAATTCCAGCAACTCAAACCTTCACAGCTAGGAGCCGCCATGCCTTTCCATTTCTTTTGTGCCCCTTTGATAAAAAGCAAATTTCACTCAGACATTTTCTTTCCAAGAACTGTTACTTTGTGGAACAAGCTCCCGAGAGAATGTTTCCTTGACAATTTCAATATTGGTTTTTTGAGTCCATGGTAACCCTCTTAACTTGTGTGCAACAAGTAACCTAACATTTGCACAATCAGTAGGGTAAATAGTAAAAAGATAAACGTTGGTAAGAGCTACAAATGAGAGGAAGTTGCAGAGAGCCATGATCACTCACGTTCTGACAAAACACTACAAACTAGTAGATATTTTCTTTATAATGATTGTAAATTTTTTCATTTTGTTCTATGAGAGAAATTGCTGTGCAAGATGCAGGAACAAATGTTTTAGACCATCGATGAATGATCGTTAATCATCGATGAATGATCAGACACAAATGTGTGCCACTGAATACAGGAAATGGTGACAAAAGAGATTAACATAAAAACTTAACCAGAACAAATTTCAAAAACAGCTGCAACAGAACGATTCGTAACGCTGTTTGTTAAAGGAGACCAAAGAATTTAGTCGTCATTTAAACGCATGGAACCAGTTTGCTGCCAAAGAGGAATCCGCAACTTCTGTAAACGTTGTTTGTTGAAGGGGATCGAAGATTTCGTTTACTGAAATTGAAGAATCGCTGAGCAAATAATATTGATTTATTTTGTTGAAGGAGACAAAAATACTCTTTTCTGGTGTGAATACATGGAGACACATGGCTTCAATAGTGAAATCCGTAAAGAGGACCTAAAGACTTTTGTCACCTTCACCATATGCTGTATTAACACTGCGAGTTTACGGATTAAACTCTCGCAGCAAAATTTCTACTACCACTCATTTAAATTTTTCCTCCTCCTCTTCTTCTTCTTCTTCTTGATACACGTCCTCCTTTTTCTTCTTCTTGATCCTCCTCCTTCTTCATATTCTTCTTGATCTTGCTCCTGCTGCTACTATTCTCCTCCTGCTCATCCTCCTCTGCACTTCTTTCTCCTCCTCGTCACCTTCTTCTTATTATTCTTCTTCATGATCCCTCTTCTCTTTCCTCATCCTCCTTCTTCTTCCCATCCTCCTCCTCTTTCTTCTTCTTCTTCTTCTTCATGATCCCTCTTCTCCTTTCTCATCCTCCTTCTTCTTCCCATCCTCCTACTCTTCCTTCCCATCCTCCTCCTCTTTCTTCTTCTTCTTATTCTTCTTCTTCATGATCCCTCTTTTCTTTCCCCATCCTCCTCCTCTTTCTTCTTCTTCTTGTGATCCCTCTTCTCCTTCCTCATCCCTCTTCTTCTTCCCATCCTCCTCCTCTTTCTTCCCATCCTCCTCCTTCTTCTTCTTCTTCTTCTTCTTCTTCTTCTTCTTCATGATCCCTCTTCTCCTTCCTCATCCTCCTTCTTCTTCTCCTATTCCTTCTTCTTCCCCTCTTTCTTCTTCTTCTTCTTTTTCTTCTTTTCCCTTTCCTTCAGGTTCTCTCCCCCTTCCTTCCTCAATTTTGCCGTTTTCTCTGTATTTTTATCAATCAGGTTTATGGGCCGGAAATTCGTCGCCAGTGCAGGAAGTAAGTTAGAAAATTAAAAATCAAAAAATGAAAGATAATTAAAATAATTTATAAAATAATTTATAAAATTATTTATAAAAAAAAAAGAAGTAGACAATCGTGAGAAATTTTGGTAATTACAGTGTAACCCGGATATAAGAGACCCGGATATAAGAGAAACCCGGATATAAGGGAGATTTTCTCTGGTCCCAAATTAGAGCCTGTGTTAATGTATATAAAATAGACCAAACCCGGATATAAGAGAAACCCGGATATAAGAGACTTCTTCTCCGGTCCCGACAACTCTCTTATATCCGGGTTACACTGTATAACAAAAAATATTATATACATTTATGTGTTTGTATGTGTCTGTCCTTAAATGTGTTTACACGTGTGTGTATTCGTGTGTATGCATGTAATTTGTATTTGTGTGTATGTATATGTGCATGTGTGTGCACATGCACATTCGAATATACCCTACTACACAAGTCTCTCCTCCATCTCCCTCTCCTCTCTTTTCCCTCTCTTTCTCTCTCTCTCTCTCACGCACTCACACACACAGACGAAATAAGTGAGGAAAAAGTTTCGTGTGACACGTTTCAACCTCAAGTACTTCAACAGTCGCGTTACACGAAAACTTTTTACACATTGTCATACTTCTTGCCTCTCAAATTGTACTTGATATATTAAAAAAAATTCTATCTCGTTTTTACATATATATATATATATATATATATATATATATATATATATATATATATATATATATATATATATATATATATATATATATATATATATATATATATATATATATATATAGTTAAACCTAGAGAGTCAGACAAACCTACCAAGGTTTCATCTAAGTGGATCGTCAGGGAAACCGCTTAAGTGAAACCTTGGTAGGTTTGTCTGGCTCTCGAGGTTTAACTAGGTCTTCTCTACTCATTGTATTGAGCACTTTATTTAGTTATTTTGCGTACTCGCATCGGGTTTTTTTCTTTGGGCTTTGGACTCATCTGCTGGACGATTATTTTCGGTTAACGTTCATGTTCTTGGTTCTTTCTTTTTTATACCTTTTTTCCCTTTGGTATTGGCTTGTTTATTTTCAAATCAATATACTGAAGGTTTTCCGAGCGAGTATAGTTTCTTATACTTATAAGATTTCTATTATATATATATATATATATATATATATATATATATATATATATATATATATATATATAATATAATATAATGAAAAACAGACCACTTTTAAGGTACCATTACAATAATTTATTTCACCAAAATCCTTTTTAAAGGAATCTGGATCATCAGGTAATAATTCCAACAACGAAGTGAAAGGAAAAATGGGATTAAAAATTGATGGGTAGTGTAATTTTTGTAATTTAACAGGGAGGGTGATAGTTGTAGTTAAAGAGACAAGGTAGAGTATAGGGAGGGGTTAATTTCATATCTCTCTTAAGCATGCTTTATATTGGGGTAGGAGGAGTGACCGAACCGTGACCTATTTAGATGGTTAACTTAACGGAAATGATATATAGGAATGGGAGGGGAGTGGGGAGAAAAGAATAGGAAAAATGGAAAGGAGAGAGGAGACAGACGACAGTAATACAGATATATCTAAATGAGTGTTACGGCAAAGAGAGAGGGGGAGATGGAAGTGAATCGAAAGAGGCTGTAATTTTGCTTTAACAAAATTATGTAAAA